AGGCGCCTGAATCCTTCAGATACCGCTGCTGTGATCATAGACAACCTGGCAGGAAGGGCCCGACAAGAAATTCAAGGGCGTGGAGACCTTCTGAAAGGCCAGCCGGAAGAGATCTTTAAGGTCCTGATAAGAGTCTTTGGGGATGGAGACCAGCTACCCCTCCTCCAGGAAAGATTTTACTCCCTGAGACAAGGACGAGAGGATCTTGTCACCTGCTCTCTCAACATGGTGGAACTTTTTGACCGAATTGTTGAACTGGATCCCTCCATGAGAAAGAACAGGGATCAGACACTCAAGGGGAGGCTCGCCGAGGTCGTAACGGATGAAGGGTTGAAGAGAGAGCTGAGGAGGCTCAACATCGAACAACAAACATTATCCTTCTTTGACCTTAGGGACAGAGCTGTGGCCTGGCTTGGGAACTACCAGAAGCCCAAACCAGTTCAAGCCCAGGAAACCGCCGCCGTCAAGTCAGAGGAGTCCATCGTCCAGGCAAGCAACAGTCAGCCATCGACCAACAACAGCTGAGCAGATCGACAGGCTGCTGAAAGCTCTTAGCTAGGGGAATGCCATCAGACCCAGCGGCAGCAGCAAGGAAGACAAGAAACCTTTTAGATGTTGGATCTGCAGCTCTCCAGATCACCTGAAGAGGGACTGTCCCCAGAGAATGTACAACAGGGAAAAGGGAAACGGTTCGAACCTGTAGTGGAGAGCCACACTACAGGATAGCTGGATATAGGCTCAGTCTTACATAGGGCGGTGGGAACCTGCCCGGAGACGGTTGTTGCCTTGAACGGTACAGAAGTTAGATGCCTCATTGACACGGGAGCCCAAGTGTCAACCATAACAGAGTCCTTCTTCAATAGGAACTTCCAGGGAAGAGACTGGTTGGATGTATCTAACTTCATCAAGGTCAAGGCGGCAAATGGAGATGAGATTCCCATCCTGGGCTATATCGAGCTCTCAGTAAATATTTTCGGCCAGGAATTCAAAAATTTAGGATTTTTCATTGCGAAGGAATCACAAGATGAGACTACTAGAGAAAGGAAGGATAGAGTACCCGGAGTGTTAGGCTCGAACATCTTTAGGGACATCCAAGAGCATGCTAAGACAAGACCTATCCCTGAAGATTGGAGACAGATCCTAGCCCTGTACGAGCAAGTTTGCGCTGACCGTCAAAGAGAAGATATGGGACGAGTCAGAGTTGCAGGACCTGCTCCAGTACTGATACCAGCAAGGACCATCAGAGTCATCGAAGGAAGTGTTCGCAAGGCTACGAAGTCCTACAAAGCTCTCATAGAGAAACTAGATGGAGATGCTGAACACCTTCCTAACGGATTGACTCTTGGACCCTCGTATGTCAAGGTAACTCAGACAGGAACAGTCCCAGTACAAGTTGCAAATTTCAGCGACAGTGATGTATATCTCAAGCCACGGACTCCTATTGCCCAGCTCAAGAAAGCTCTCCTTGAACCAAGATACCAGATTGTGGAATTAAATTCGCAAGAAGTTGAAATCCAGGACATATCGCAAGACTTAGTGAAGAGGCAGCTTGGAGTGGATCTAATGGGGAAGATGGATTTTGGGACCAACATCAGTCAAGAGGCTAAAAGGAATCTGACCGACATGATCGTAAAGCACCAATCTGTCTTCAGCACATCTGACGAGGATATAGGATTTTGTGATGCAATTGAACACAGGATTGTAACAACTGATGAGATTCCAGTTAGAGCCCCTCTAACAGAAGCAGAAGTTGCGGTACCTTGGTCACCAGATTTCTCAGGAGGGTGTACTACCAGATACAGACAAGGTGAAAGCAGTACTAGACTTGGAGACGCCAAGGACAGAAACACAGTTACGAGGATTTCTTGGACTAGCAGGGTACTATAGGCGGTTTGTACAAGACTTCGCTAAGATTGCTGCTCCTTTACACGCTCTGCTTCAAGGCACGAACACCAGCAAGAAGGGAAAGAGGAAGGTTAGGCCTCAAGGATTTGGGATGTCTTCATGGGACGAGTCATGTGACAAAGCCTTTGAGGAGTTGAAAACAAAGCTAACCTCTGCGCCGATTCTAGGTTTTCCAGACTTCACCAAACCGTACATTCTGGAGGTGGATGCCAGCAATGCAGGACTCGGAGCTGTACTGTCACAAGAGCAAGAACAGGGTAAAGTAGTCCTGAGCTATGCTAGTCGTTCCCTTCGTCTGAATGAGGAGAACAGGGAGAACTACAGCAGCATGAAGTTGGAACTGCTTGCACTCAAATGGGCTGTGACAGAGAAGTACAGAGATCTATTGCTTGGAACAGAGTGCTTCGTGTTCACGGACAATGACCCACTCAGCTACATCCAGACAACAGCAAAACTTGGAGCAACTGAGATGAGATGGGTAGGCGAACTGGCTCAATTCAACCTTACAATCAGGCATAGGTCGGGCAAACAAAACAAGAATGCAGATTCTCTCAGCCGCAAGTCAAAGCATTCTCAAGAGACAGCCAGACTAAAGTCATTAGAAGTAGAAGCCTCAACAGCATCACTGAGTGACTCTACACAACTTCCAGGAGTCCTTAGATCAACCATCCATGAGATAACGGAGTTGGTAATGCAGGAAGAAATGAACACAACTGTTCAAAGGCAAGTTCCCATCATATCTACCCACATGCCCGCACTTTCAACAGAAGATATAGCCAAACTTCAGATTGAAGATGAATACATTGGGAGATTCAAGCACTATTGGGATCAAGGTAAAAGCCATCGGCTTACAACTTCTCAGAGAACACCCCAGGTCCAGGCGACTGTTCCAGTATTGGAAACAGATAGTGGAGGAAAAAGATGTGCTTTACCGACAGATACAGGAGAATGGAGCAGTGATCAAGTAACTCCTATTGCCAGATTGCTTGAGGACTAAAGTGTTGAAATCAGTGCATGACGACCATGGTCATCAGTGTTGTAAGAGGACATTTTCCTTGTTGCACAGTAGGTGTATCTGGCCTTACATGTCCAAAGACGTCAAAGACTACTGCACAAAGTGCTCCAGGTGTATGCTAGGAAAACATGGGGAGATCGTCAAGCCGACCATTGGATCCATCCTTGCTAAGAAACCAATGGAAATTCTGGCAATAGATTTCACAGTGCTGGAACCAGGAACCAACAAAATTGAAAATGTGCTGATTATGACAGATGTCTATACCAAGTTCACTCAAGCAATACCTCTGAGAGACCAGACAGCAAAGAGAGTAGCCCGTACCTTGGTCAAGGAGTGGTTTGTGCACTACGGAGTTCCGCTTAGGCTGCACATTGACCAGGGTAGGAACTTTGAAAGTAGAATTATACACGAAGTTGTGCAACATCTATGGCATACTGAAAACCAAAACAACACCCTATCATCCTGAGGGAAATGCCACCTGCGAGCGATTTAACAGAACGCTGCACAACTTACTTAGAACCCTATCCTCAGAAAAGAAGAACCATTGGCCCGAACAACTGCCAGAACTCATTTATGCCTATAATTCAACTCCCCATGCTACTACTGGATATGCTCCTCACTACTTGTTCTTTGGGAGAGAACCTAGGGTTCCCATCGACATGTTAATTGGTGCAAGTGATGGAGTGCAAGAAGAGTGGACAGCAGAACATTATCAAAAACTACAAGATGTTTATCGCCTGGTATCCGAGAGGACAGAATGTGAAGCTCTAAAGAGGAGAACCCGGATCAACAAAGACGCCAGAGACAAAGAACTCAGCATAGGTGCAAGAGTCTTTCTCAGGAATCACCCCCCAGGACGAAATAAAATCCAAGATGTATGGCGCCCTACACCATACAGAGTAGTGGAAAAGAAACCATTTAACGAGTATGTCATTCAGCCACTACAAGGAGATGAACATACTAAAACAGTTCACAGGAAAGAGTTGCTTGATTCACGTACCCTAGTGGATGACATCCACAGTGAACCTGAACAGGAAGAAAGGTTGCCAGATAATCTACCTGAGGAGATGGAACTGATCAATGAAGACAATGACGATTTTGGAAATGACTATGATTACTTAATCGTTAGTGAAATCCCTGGCGTGGAAACAGTAGAAGCTGGGACCAAGGGCGGGAACATGCCACAGGAGACAGATGCTGCAGAGTCTGTCGGTCCGGATGAAGCTTCAGGAGCTGAAATTCTCAGGGAAGAAGACACGCCAGTGGAACTACCCGAAGATAGGTCAGAGGGGACTGGTTCATGCGAAGCAGCGGAGGAAAGAGGTACTACTCCATGCGAAGCAGGGGAGCCAGAGGCTGTAACGCCACCACGGAGATCAACAAGGAGCACAGCTGGAAAACATCCTAACCCTCTCAATCTACCAAGATCAGCTCTCCAACAAGAAGCAACTAATACCACAATGATGCAGCTGGATCCATCTGTGATTGCTGACATCACTAAGACACAGTTACTACTGGTTCAACTGCTTTCAAAGTCCGTCCAGAAGTGATGAAAGGTGCACTTTCATTCTTTGAACAGTATTTACCAAAACAGTATTCGATTTTTGGTGCACATAATTTACATTTATGATCTGATTTTTCAATGTGTATGATACATAGGACTTTTTTTATGGTTAGATTTATATCTACCATGTTTTTGTATTGCATTTGGTCCAGTTACCGAGGATAAGTACCGTGATGTCCTCAAGTAATATATTGTATGACATGATAGTTAGTTACATTGTGGTATTCAGTGTCTAGTTGCCAGGAGTCAACTAGGAAGCAGGGGAGTGTAAAGTGCCATCAGTCACACGTCTTTACTCACATTATCTTCGACAAACTCTGTCAGGGCTCGGAAAACTTTGTAAACATTACTGATTCAGAGGTTATTTCTTATCATCACCTTTCCTATATTTTCACATCTGTACTTGAGGTCTTTGCTTAAGATCCCTTTTAATTTCTACACATTCACAAAAGAATAATAACAGGCCGTAAGTAATTACTTTGAGGTTACCCGAAATGCTCCTCTTATCGCTTCATCTCGCGCCCAAGGCAGGCCCTTTGTTTTAGCCAGCCAGCCGAGCAGCACGTTGTTTGACCACAGAGCGCATTGTTTTTGTCCAGCTCTAATGAGCCAACTTATGTACGAGTAAGTACACTCCCTTCGCTTATCAATTGTGTTGTTATGCTATAACAGTGTATTTGTCTGTGATACCGCCACTGGCAAAGTTTAATTGATCAGAAAGTTGATTGTTTGAGTAATTGTGATTATCTCGTAGCCATCCATGTATAACTTGTTATGGGGAAAATGTTTCATTTTTTAAATGTACTGTCATCAATGTTTATAGAGTTGAATTGTAACTTGAAAGCATGTTTTTGCTCAATGGTTGTGTGAGAACGAATAGTGTATAAAATGTTGTTTGTATTAAGTGAACCACTAATTAGTGACAATTTTGGGTTGTACTGTTATTTTATTTGTCACTCCCCGTAAGCAGTTATCTCCCTTGCTCACTGCCATTCTACAGTTTCCATGAACCCTAATTATTCACTCCAACTCCATTGTTTTGAATTGTTCCAACTTGTTAGTTTCAAAACCAGGTGTTAGAGGGAGCACTTAGATTAGCCTCAAGTGTGATAATGTTTGTAAAAAGTATGCAATTCATCATTATAATCGCCACGATGTGTTTGCATGAAATTGTCAGTTTACTCATTGTATTGTAGTCGCATCTTACTAGGCAAGGAAGCCCCGTCCGGTTGTGGACAGATGTATCCAAGGTAGTTGGGGGTGAGTTTTATATACCTCAACTGGAAAATAGTGTAAAGTTTCATTTATTTTTCATGTTAGTTATTGTATGTTATTAATTAGATTAACTTGTGTAAAACTATTAAATAAGAGGTGACATACCCACTGGGTCTGGTATCTTTGCTGGAAGTTATGCAAGTGCTATTGGTACAGTTGACTTTGTATGTAAAAGATGCTTTCTTCCATGTGAATGTTTATATTGTACTTTTATGCACTGTGCTTATCTAAAATTCTATGGGATTACGATGTACAAGTTTCATCTGTGACAGGCCATCCATGATGTTACCATGTATATTGAATGTTTTTGTTTTATTGTTTAGGTCTACCGTCTTCAGTATAATAAAATATACGGACCCAGAGAACGGATCTGTTCTGCTTTTTACACAAGCATGTCATTCCTGTGAAATGCAAATTCGACTTCTGACGCCTGACAACTACAGCCATTTTCAGTTTCGCATCTGGACTTTTCATCACACGCCACTCAATATCTTGTACATTACTACGGAATGGGACAAGTGTGCCAAATGGCATCAGGATCATTCAAAAAGAATCCATTAATAAAAATTAGGAGAAGCCATGTTTTTCTGTAACCTTCGTTATTGGCCGTTACATATTCAACCCTTTCCATTCATTTCCGTTACGTGTCAGGCATATTAAGTAACAGATGTAGCTCAGTTAGTTTGTTGTCGGCTTAACAATCTGAAGGGCAGGAGTTTGCGTCCAACTGATTCTCACAAAACTTCTTTGTGACAGAGATCATCCTCACAAGAATTTGTGGTGTTGATTTTTCAAATGTCATAGTAGAATGTTGTACATACTTTGGGCAATCTGTCAAGAACTGCTGGTTTTGCTTCCGTTTCATTAATGTGAATCAAAGATGGCTTTAATAAATGTGATTTTAAGATGGCAAACAGTAAACTTTTCATATATGCTAGGCACTTTTAACGACACTTTTTAGCATAAAAGTTTAACTCATAAGATATCTTACGTCCTGCAAAATATATATACACACACCATTACATGCGGTCATCCAGATTTATCTTATGTTGCCATTAATGTCACATTGCCCTATATTAATATCAGCATATCATTCACGGTTTCCAAACTGGGCTATCATGTCACATGTAAAAAAACACACATCTATTTCTCTCTTTTGTGAGAGGACATAGGGTTATACATCATTGACTCATTGAGTAAAACTATATGCCATCTATGGGCTAAAACACAGGCATAGTTATAAGTCTTAATAACATGACAATCGACACTGATATACCACGGACATATTTTGTTTCATAATCGAAATAAGTTTCCCCAACCTAAAGTCGGAAAACTATAAACTCACCTGAATAAACGTCAACAGCGAATTTTACCTGTATTTCCCATGTTCGTCGATTCCTGGCGGTTTCAAGTCACTCCAATTCGCTATGATAAGCATGGCCAATCGCGGGGAACTTGAAACTGTCGCCACGGAGCAACCACGGGCTATTTACCACAACAACAAAGATGGCGGTGTGCATGTGCTTGTTTCGTAGATTGATGTGACATCGGAATACAGTTATTTGGGTTTTTTTCCCCTTTAACCCGCAGTTCGGATATGATAATGATAACCACATTATCATTTAATTCATAGAACGTGAGATACAGCAAATCCCGAACTAGTTTAAGTTCAGTGCACCGTGAGTAGATCGGGCAGCCAAGTCGTTCGTGGATGAAAAGTGTTCAATTTGTTATAGGATTAAACTGCACAGAACCGTACACAAAATAATTTTCACTATACCTTAACGGGTTGATGTGCATCAACCAACTAGTGCCTATGTGTGTCAGCGATGTCAACGTGCAGTTATACTCTTGAAGATGTGTGTGTGGCCATCCCAATCGAAGTCGAGCAGACGACGTTTTCCAGTGACGGTGGATGGATAGCGGGTGCTTTTTTATTGGCCTCTTCATTGGGGCATTAGTAACAGCTGTCCTCGTTAGACCTTGCCTGAGAGAATGGCAGAAGAAGAAGGTTAGCTAATTCTCCCTAATTGTTTTAACTCAACCTTGCACATATTCCTGGATCACCCACACCTTCATTATAGAATCTAGTTGTGTTTTGATCAATATTTATAGGTTAGAGGTATTCATGTACCCATTTCTAGAAAATCAACATTCAAGCTTTCTTTCATCAAAAACAGAAAAAAAGATTTTCAGGGGATAGGCAGATCACTAAACCAGTAGTTAGTACATTGATGCAGAACTGGGGGGGGCTGAACCTGTACATATAACCACCAATATTATTCACTTGTATTGTACTACACATAAGTTTTGCCTGGTATCTAAACAAGGCAGTCAGATCGATTCTGTCAACATTTCATAGTCATAATTCCAACAAGCACACCTTTCAAAATGTTGCTGTAATTTACTTCAACATCAGGCAGGTGTGTTTATACCAGGGTATAATAAAAACATGGACAAAGTTTTAAGGGGAGTTTGCAGTTTCAAATGTTTGCCAGTGCAATATGAATTAGGTAATATACCATGCTGCTTACATGCATGCCACCAGTTTACATGAAGCAAACTTTCATACTAGTAGTCAGAAAGTCTACAGTATTTATGTAGAAAACACTTAAGAATACTGTCATTGCTAATTCTTACTGTTATTGTTATTATAGGATATTTATATGGCGCACATATCCAGGATCTAGTGCATGCTCAAGGTGCTGGTATTTTTTCCCCTCGATCATTGGATGTCAGTCTCAACGGCACATGTTATTATCAATCTCAACTTTTGGGGGGCATACAGCTCTTGCAGCCACTAGGCACACCAAGTTATTGCATCTTTCTCATCCTTAAGAGGTACCCATTCACAGCTGGGTGGACTGGGACACAAAGTCACACTACTTAGTCCAAGTTTACTGCACGTTGCTGTACCCGCAACTGGGTGTTTGCACATATTCATGTGGCCACCCTCTGGTCATATACCAACGGATTCGTGGGTTCTTTTAAGTGCACAGGGTTGTGCACTGTACACTAGGGGTTGTGACAGCACTGAAAGAGTCTGCACACAAAGTTGACTCCAAGGTTATAATAATTGACCATAATAATGTACATTGTGCAGTTTCTTATCCAATGGAAATATATTTCTGAGGCATTCTTTTTTCTGTGGAGAAGTTATACATTTCTAAAAGCAAATAGGAAATGCATACACACTGGTATTTCATGGGGTGTTGAATGCATCACAAAATGCCCATTCATCCCATTATATATATGCCCATTCATCCCATTATATATATGCCCATTCATCCCGTTATATATATGCCCATTCATCCCGTTATATATATGCCCATTCATCCCATTATATATATGCCCATTCATCCCTGCTATATATATGCCCATTCATCCCGTTATATGCCCATTCATCCCGCTATATATATGCCCATTCATCCCATTATATATATGCCCATTCATCCCATTATATATATGCCCATTCATCCCATTATATATATGCCCATTCATCCCATTATATATATGCCCATTCATCCCATTATATATATGCCCATTCATCCCGTTATATATATGCCCATTCATCCCATTATATATATGCCCATTCATCCCAAGTATATATGCCCATTCATCCCATTATATATATGCCCATTCATCCCGTTATATATATGCCCATTCATCCCGTTATATATATGCCCAATCATCCCGTTATATATATGCCCATTCATCCCATTATATATATGCCCATTCATCCCGTTATATATATGCCCATTCATCCCGTTATATATATGCCCATTCATCCCGTTATATATATGCCCATTCATCCCATTAGTATGCTTGTAGTCTCAGGGGATAAACATGCAATGTTTATTAGACCTTATCACGTGATCATTCATTTAAAGAAAAAATTATCAGTTTGTGTCAGTAGACTTGAAATTCTACACAGTGAAGAAAACACCACCAACAAATGATATTTTCCCTATGCACAGCTCTTATCAACTATTTCGATGTTATAACTTGCGTCTTACTACCTGCAGACTGGATAGATTTGTTGCAGTCATTATTCTTTCAGTTGAGTCCTTTGCCCCACATTTATCATGTTATGGTAAAGTTTGTTTTGCACCCATAATTTAAGAATGTCAGTTGTTGATGGAAGTAGATGTCATATTTGCTGAGACTGTTCAGCATGTCTGAGAATTACATATTTGTTCTTTGGAATTGGTCTGCATTAGAGCTGAAAAAACTATATATCCATACATTTTCTTCAGCGTCAGGATGAAGAAGAGCGGATGTGGAATGGTGCAGTGGTGGCCCCAGTTGTCACAGCTCAGGCAGTTGATACCCACAAGGTAACATGGAAATTGTTGTATACATTAAAGTAAGAGTTATCCTTTATGTAGTATGTGGAAAGGAATGAAATATTTATGAAATTTATTCGTTTTCATGAGCGTTTCAATGGTCATTTAATAAACTTTCAGGACAAAAGTGGGCGTGTGCACCCCTGTCCAGTCCTTTAAAGCTTGGGCTAAGATGTAGCAAGTGAATTGTCTTCTGTTATCATAAGTTTGAGTTGTTAAAGTCCATACATTACACCACAGTCTAGGACAATAGTGTGATATCGGTTTGTGACATGTAACATGAGGTGTCCTCTCTGTGCTGTTTGACAGGTTGTTGAGGAGAAAACAGGAAAGAAGAAGAAAGGATCACTTTTCAAGCGTAGAAAAAAGACAGATGAGACTAATGATCAGGAAGATGCAGATACTGAGCCTGGGAAGTACAAGGGGATGGTGGATGTCATTGTCCAGACCAACAGGTAAGAGATGAAATTAAGTTTAACTTGAGTTGGATCAGGATCCAAGCAACAAAAATAGCAGAGGTTATTAATACATTGCTGGCATAAACAATTTTATACATTTTCTACAGTTTTACTGAAACTGAACATTATCGGTCAACATCATAAGGTTAAAGCATCATAAAATCAACCAGATTAATTGTCTTTTTTTTCAAAATATAAAGCAAAATTTCAACAATTCAGTTTTATTCAGGAATATTTTGAGAACATATTCAGCTAAATTATATTAGTCAAATGGTCATGTTCATAGATCAAGGTTATATATAGGTAGGATTGCAAATGTTTTTTTCAGACCAAACTTGGTATCACTTCTACTTTAAGATCACTTCACATACATGTACTAACGTGAATCTCAGGAAATGGCATATGCTGTCTTGAAACCTTGAAACCCACTGTTAAGTGTTGTGACAGTGTAGTATCATGTTACACAGTCTGAGACTTTGACATGTTTAGCCAATTGTCTGAAGCTTAGGAACTTAAAAAAAATTACCTGTCAAATGACAGGTTTGGGCTTGTTGACTTGGTACAGAATGATTACATAGAATATTCTCTGTTCCAGATTAAGAAATGTTGGTAAAATGTCACATTTTTATCAATGCCTTCATCTTCAGTTTACTTTCAAAAATATAGTTGAATATCAATGATGACAATGGTCTAGTGGTTAAAGCATTGGCTCGTCACGCCAAGACCCAGGTTCGAATCCCCACATGGGTACAAAGTGTGAAGCCCATTTCTGGTGAAGCCCATTTCTGGTGTCCCCGCCGTGATGTTGCTGGAATATTGCTAAAAGCGGCATAAAGCCAAACTCAGTTAGTCAGTCAGACAAGTAACATGCCTGTCTTTGTTGACATTTTTAACTGTTTGACAGATCCTGATAAGCTACGTTACAGTGTATGGTTTTACTTTGACTAACGCTTAGTCTCTGAATATATATAATTTTGATAGTAACAGACAAACCCATATAAATTGAAAAGGAGCCCCAGTGAGATGGGAGATCCTGAACCTGAGGAAATCTAGCCTTGCTTCATTTAGGGCTTTAGCATTGCAGGGAGGGCTAGGCAGTTGGGAAAATAATGTGGTTCAGGGACTGTGAGACAGACTAGGTTTTACTTACATAGGCATATTTTGCTTATTCAAAATGATACCAAATTCCAGACCAATATGGAATAATGCTCTCATGGTAGACCATGTTTAAACTTACAGAGTATGGCAACACCGTGCATGATACTGTTTTAAGTTCAAACCTAGATGTGTGTGGTATTAAACTGCTGCTATTCATATATTGAATTTATAAGGCAGGTTTTGTACTGGCAATAATACTGGAAATTCTTTTGAGAACATCATTCATAAAAGTGGGTCATCTCATAAAATGGTGTAGCTTTCAATCCCCTCTATGATAACTTATTTACCCAAAACAGGACTGGTCCTTACACTGATCCCTGAGACACGCCTGCATGTACTAGGTTTAATATTCAGAGATTTCCACTACTACCCTGTTTAAGATGCATTTGTATAGGTATTTCATTATTTTGAAGCTGGTGTGATGAACAAGGGGATAGTTCTATGGATATACAACGTCTTTATTACAATGTATGCAAAGTTTTGGTGAAGATGCTAGCTTGCTTGATAATTTTGTTAGCATCTGCTCTGAAATGTTGCATATATTGTAATAAAGGAGTTGTATATCAATAGAACTATTACTCCGTGACGGGGCCGTGTGCAAATAGTCGAGACAGAGTGTTAAGACACTATTACAAAGGTAACATTGTTTACCTGGGCACAGAGCTATTGAAGTAATATTCTAAACTTAATCAAAATTATAGCAAACAAAATGTGAACAGACTTATCCATGGCCTGAATTGCATTCTTTCATGCATATAGCACAGAAATGAAGATGATGAATGAAAATTCCAGTAACTTTCATAAATCATCAGTTTGGTAAACTTTGCTATTTTTGTGTACAGATCCTTTTTCCATAAAAATCTCCAAATGGTCATTGTTCTTCCAGTTCTGTAGGCCTACTTAAGCATTTGGAAATTACTATTTATTTATTACCTCTTTATAGGTAACGTACGCCTACAGCAAGTAGCCAGGGTAGTGTTTCAATGTTTGAGAAACATGGTGGTCTGAATGATACATACATTCAAAGAGGCTTAATTAATGAGCAATCACTATAAAAGTTCTAACCAATGGTAACACCAGTAGCTTTTTACTGGTCTCAAACCAGAAGACTTAAATTAATTTTAAACCCTTTTCAAATTCTATCATATGTTTTTTTAGTCACACTATAATGATAAGGACGTTTCTACCATAAAAACATAACTATCTCTTGTTTTGGTTGTTTATACATCAGAAGGGATTTGCAGAACCTTCACTAACTGAATGTCTGTCAAAATGATTTAAGAAATTGTCTGTCTGAAATAGTTGTGTATATAAAGGAAATTTACTGTAATGTAATGATATGTAAGAATCAATTGAACATAACTTTGGTTTCTGTTGGGAAGTAATTCCGCTTGGCCAATATTCTGCTGTTGTCATTACATTGTTTGTAGGCTAATCAATAGTGTTGTTATAAACCAATGTTTTAATTTGTTGTTAAGGGAAACAAGTCTGTGTGTTATTGTGTCTAGCCTTTACAAGTGAGTTTCAATCAATACAGAGAACATACAACGTACTGTGTACACACTGTCAGCACTTCATGACCACTCCTGTGGCATTAGGACATTACCCACAATTCATCGCTGTTGTTTGCATTACTTATCATGATGTGTAATGTTTAGGTACTGTCTGTCTGTATGGCATGTTCTGGGTGGGGCTGTGTATTGACCTGGATCTTGTACTGCAGTATATGGCCATACTTTAACCTGTGTTGAAATACGTACTGCATTGTATTAACAATTTACAGTTTCATGAGGAAATCAGCATTATATATAGTAACCTGTCAATAAACATATGATAAAGAGAATAAAGAATACAAACAGACCGAGAAATATGTGTGACTTAAGCAAGCAATGTGTACAGGCTACTTTATCAAGGCAAGCTGTTTCACAAAAATGACCCTTTCCATCTAGCTATCAATTATGGAACTCTTACATATTACAAAATAAATTTAATATTTATATTTGTCTCAATATTTTGGTACATTTAGGAATTTATCACAGTATATATTGCTGAAGATTTGCACTACAGTATACTGATGTGCTCTGCATATTTGTGAAGGTATAAATAAATTACCAGGTGTTCGAGAACGGATGGAGACGGCACAGCACAGGTTAATGAATAAATAACTTTGTCTGTGAAAGTGCCTCTCAAACACCTGGCTGTCCCTTTCTCTGCACTTCTCCTTCGTAACAAATAGTGAACTGTGTCAATATTTTAATGATAGATTGTTAAACAACTTTTTTATTTTTAGGACAAAAATTGTGCAAAAACCTCACAGAGTGGGTATGATGTGTTGATTATGATCAGCGTTTCATTGAGTATGTTATGTTTATTAGTTTTCGAGTTAGATTGCAATTCATCGGTCTGCTTTTGAGCCAAACGGACTGTAGAGTGTGTGTGGATTTTGATCCTATTTCTGTGTTTTTTACTGCTTGATATTTAATAGTGTAAACATATTTTATTTAAAATAAATTGAACATGGATGGGTAAACAAGCCGTAATGGCTTATTTGAGTACCTCTGCATTACATTTATACATAGATACAACAAATATTAAATAATGTACAGCATGATAGGAGAGCCAGCAACCTGCGTATGGAACATCATCAATCAGTTATCAAACCTATGCGAATTTATTATAAAAGTATGGACATATTTTAGTATCAAAGAATTTATAAGTTAACTTTTGTTTGTATTTCCATTTAAGACAGAATTTGAAGTATATCCATGTACATAAAAATACATAAGATATCTGATATTGGAATAATTAGGACAAATAAAGAAGTGATGCAAAGTGTCCTCAGGAGCTGAATGGATCTACTGAAATGTGCCGTTCAAACATGTGTGCATTCAATTTGCTACACCAAAGGTTTTATGAACCTGTCATATAAAACAATATAGAGATCAAGAGTCATGTGATGCCTTAAATGAAAATGTTCTGTGAGGTTCCATTTGTTCAGGAACTTTATTAGATGTGTGACATTTTCCATGCAAAGGAAATAATCAATTTGATGTATTTATTGTTTGCTTTGGCACAATTACCAATATAGAAATATACTTCTTCAATATTATTAGAGGTTATTATTTTCTATGCTTTATTTCCTTTGCTTTATTTCCTTTGTTATCATGGATGTAGACAACCCTACAGACTCAGCTGGACAGAAACTACCGCAGCTACTGCTCCAGGTGCAGGGCCGGTATTCTCACCTGTTTAACAGGGATTACTAACAATCTGTGTTTCTAAGTATTTGTAAGGTTCTCAGAAAAATGAATTTGAAGGAGCTTCATTGTTGTTTTTAAGAATGAACTTAGATGGTGATACTGAAGCAGAGATTCTGCAAATGCATGTCCTGTGTGACGTTGTTTCGACCAGTTTATAAATAATGAAATTCCAGGATTTCCTTCTATGAGGAAATATAGATGCACATGATGTCATTAGCATTAATTGTCTGGTCCAAAGTCAAATATTAAAAAACTGTAAATATATTGCCTGAACATTGCTGAGTGTGGCATTAAACAACAAACAAAAAAACAAATGGAACATGTGAGCACGTAGCTCTAGCATTCCAGTCAGATAATGTTGAATGTGGTAAGTGTTGTGGAAGAATCCAAGTCAAGTGAAGTTTCTTAACAACAGAGCCTGTTGGTGTGTGTTTATAAACAGCCATTGTAAAGGAAGATATGAATGGGTACAGCATTATTGATGTAACGGTGGACAGTTAGCCTCGACTAAGCTGTGCGGGTTTGTTTGTGTGGGTGTGTCATGGTGACAGGCCGACATGGGTGGCTTGGTACTAAGCT